TGATGCATCTGCAGTGTTGAAAGTGAGGGGTGGGCTCAGTCGGCCTATTCCAGTGTTGAGAGGAATTAGACAAGAATGCCCGTTATCAGGGATGTTGTATTCATTGGCCATTGAATCCCTACTTTGTAAGTTAAGGAAAACATTACAAGGGGTTTCTGTTGAAAGATCTATTAAAAGGGTCACATAATGGTGCTAAAAATAACATTATTTTGTGTATTTGCTGTAATGAAATGTGTTTATGCAGTTTAAGGTTAAAAAAACACATTATCTTCCACATACTGTACATTATTATTTCTCCTCTATGCCCTGCCTTTCCGAAACGCGTCGATTTTTACAAAGCTCATCGTTCTAAGATAGCGAGGTGTGCTGTGATTGGCCAGCTATCCAGTGCTTTGTGATTGGCCGAATACTTCAAGCATGTGATGGAAATGTTACGCCCCTTACCATATTGTGATGATGCCCTGTCAGGCTGGAGCGATGATTCAAAAACATAAAAACCCATTATAAACGAGGCTTTCTTTGCATCCAGTGGGGACATAATTATGGAGTATAATGATTTATACTTTCTTTTTACGCGTTGCGTTGCATCGCGCCGCGCCGCATAAACATAAAACCATGTCTGCATTTGTGATCGGAGAAATGACAAACAACAAGCCCTACTCTACACTGCCCCAAAAAACTCACTTTAAATATATAAAATATAAAAACTCTTTAAAGTCAGAACAGCCGGCATTGTAGTCTACTCTCCCAGAATCAGGAAACAGTCCTCCATAAAATGTGCTGCACACATCTGAATATTTGGGTTGAACTGTTCTGGAACAGTGCTGTAAATACAACTTAACCACTGATTTCTAGTCGTGTCCTTTTTTGGAAGACCAAACAAAGTAGTTTCGCTTTCACAACGAAACACAGTGTCACACACGGCGGCCTAGAGTGAGCAGAGGCCGGGGGATAAAGTGAGGAACGGCCGGAGGGTTAGAGTGAGCAGAGGTGGCGGATTCGACAAAGGAGCGTCCATTCGGGCTTGCAGCAACCACATGTAACGACCCCAGGCTGGACTCCGCTTCGTCCACGGTGAAAGCCGATCCGGCGATCCACAGCGCAAAGTTGTAGTATTTCCTCAGCGACCAGCATGGATCAGCTCTAGGCATGACGACGCAGATATCGTCCTCTTTTGGAAGACCAAACAAAGTAGTTTGCTTTCACAACGCAGCACACAGTGCCTTCACGACATGGCGGCGGCAGCAACAATACTACAGCCAGAATAAAAGTTACGCCTTCTTTCTTTGCGTGAACATTTGGGCGGCGTTATGCAAATCTTCCCACATAGTGATGTAGATATGTGGGGGCGTGTTAGAACGAGCCGTTTTAGGTAGGCGTGGTTGACTCTTAACTTTTATAAAGAATATCTCTTTGGATTTGAGACTTTAGTTTTTGCAACTTTACAGATCTTCTTTGTGCACCAAGAGTTTGTAACACTCCAAAGAGGAAGGAAAAATTGAAATCGCATCATATGACCCCTTTAAGTTTGTTGCATATGCTGATGATGTTACAATTTTTATTAAAGATGAGAGAGATATGTCTATTTTAAAAGAAACATTGAACATTTATGAAAATGCATCAACTGCAAGAATGAATTGGGAAAAGTGTGAAAGATTTTATTGTGGACAAAAGGTAAATTAAATCCACCAGAGCTCCCAGGTGGTGTTAAGTGGAGTCAAGAGGGGTTGAAATGTTTAGGGGTTTATTTAGGGACTGAAACATTTAAGATGAAAAATTGGGAAGGAATGGTGGAGAAGATGTGTAGCTGGTTGTCTAAGTGGTCATGGGTGCTACCACAGTTATCCTATAGAGGAAGAGTTTTGGTCACAAATAATTTAGCAGCTTCGGCACTGTGGCACAAAATTAATGTCCTGAATCCACCAGATGATATTGTCCATGAATTACAAAAAAGATTAGTGGATTTTTGTTTTGGACTGGACAACACTGGACTAAAGCTGCCATTCTTTTCTTACGAGTAAATGAAGGTGGACAAGGATTAATAGATATTAAAAGCAGAATCAAGACTTTCAGGCTGCAGGCAGCACAAAAGTTGCTGTACTCGAATAGGTGCTGGACTGATACCACTAAAACCCTGTTACACAAAGTTGATGTTTTTAAATATGATTTACATTTGTTTTTAAATAATTTAACAGAAATGGACTTAAAAGAAACATCTGCTTTTTATAAAACTATGCTGAGAACATGGACTTCAATTTTTCGAGTGAAGGGAGACTTGCCTTTTTCTGAGTCCTGGATAAACAAAGAGCCTCTTTTGAATAATCCCTTACTTCAAGTAAAGGTGCTTAATTCAAAAAGCCTTCAGAAAGTAAGGGCAAGAGCTGGATGCACAAGGATAATGGACTTAAAACATTATGATGAGTGGAAAAGCCCAGAGGAAATGTGTAATCTGACAGGAATCAAGTCAGATTCATGAAACACGAAATGGATGAGATTTTTTCATTTTTTCCTTCTACTCATCGTCGGAAATTAAGAGAAGATGATTTGAACGAAGAAGAGAAAGAGATAAAAGAGGAGTTTTTTCCTGAGCTCAATGTTTCGGCTTTGGTGGAAGAAGAACCACAAGAAGGACTCCAGAGATGTTTGGTTTCAGACTTTTAGGACTCAAGACCTGGTTTCAAAGAAGCTTCAAAGAAAACATTGTATTTGACGTGTCTAAAAGTTGCTCACCAGTCAATTCTGAGGGAATGTAGAGAAACAAAGTGGTCAGATGTGTTGAGGCCAAACTCTTCTCCTAGAAGGTGCTGGAGGTCATTGTATAAATCTCCCATTGAAAAACGAACTGCAGGTCTACAGTGGAGAATTATACATTGGGCAGTAGCTACAAACAGACACGTGGCACATATCGATCCCACTGTAGAAAAGAAATGTCCCTTTTGTGATTTGGAGGAATCAGTTGATCACCTGTACTTATTTTGTTCTAGATTGAGAGGTGTTTTTCAGATATTAGAAAACTGGATTGAAAAACTAGGTGAAGAGTTCAATGATAATATTTTCATTTTTGGGCCGAATTATAAGGCTTCAGATAAGAGAAGAATTGGTATAATTCATTTTTTAATAGCGGAAACCAAAATGGCAATATGGGTAACTGTTAAGTGGAGTCAAGAGGGGCTGAAATGTTTAGGGGTTTATTTAGGGACTGAAACATTTAAGATGAAAAATTGGGAAGGAATGGTGGAGAAGATGTGTAGCTGGTTGTCTAAGTGGTCATGGGTGCTACCACAGTTATCCTATAGAGGAAGAGTTTTGGTCACAAATAATTTAGCAGCTTCGGCACTGTGGCACAAAATTAATGTCCTGAATCCACCAGATGATATTGTCCATGAATTACAAAAAAGATTAGTGGATTTTTGTTTTGGACTGGACAACACTGGACTAAAGCTGCCATTCTTTTCTTACGAGTAAATGAAGGTGGACAAGGATTAATAGATATTAAAAGCAGAATCAAGACTTTCAGGCTGCAGGCAGCACAAAAGTTGCTGTACTTGAATAGGTGCTGGACTGAAACAGCTAAAACCCTGTTACACAAAGTTGATGTTTTTAAATATGATTTACATTTGTTTTTAAATAATTTAACAGAAATGGACTTAAAAGAAACATCTGCTTTTTATAAAACTATGCTGAGAACATGGACTTCAATTTTTCGAGTGAAGGGAGACTTGCCTTTTTCTGAGTCCTGGATAAACAAAGAGCCTCTTTTGAATAATCCCTTACTTCAAGTAAAGGTGCTTAATTCAAAAAGCCTTCAGAAAGTAAGGGCAAGAGCTGGATGCACAAGGATAATGGACTTAAAACATTATGATGAGTGGAAAAGCCCAGAGGAAATGTGTAATCTGACAGGAATCAAGTCAGATTCATGAAACACGAAATGGATGAGATTTTTTCATTTTTTCCTTCTACTCATCGTCGGAAATTAAGAGAAGATGATTTGAACGAAGAAGAGAAAGAGATAAAAGAGGAGTTTTTTCCTGAGCTCAATGTTTCGGCTTTGGTGGAAGAAGAACCACAAGAAGGACTCCAGAGATGTTTGGTTTCAGACTTTTAGGACTCAAGACCTGGTTTCAAAGAAGCTTCAAAGAAAACATTGTATTTGACGTGTCTAAAAGTTGCTCACCAGTCAATTCTGAGGGAATGTAGAGAAACAAAGTGGTCAGATGTGTTGAGGCCAAACTCTTCTCCTAGAAGGTGCTGGAGGTCATTGTATAAATCTCCCATTGAAAAACGAACTGCAGGTCTACAGTGGAGAATTATACATTGGGCAGTAGCTACAAACAGACACGTGGCACATATCGATCCCACTGTAGAAAAGAAATGTCCCTTTTGTGATTTGGAGGAATCAGTTGATCACCTGTACTTATTTTGTTCTAGATTGAGAGGTGTTTTTCAGATATTAGAAAACTGGATTGAAAAACTAGGTGAAGAGTTCAATGATAATATTTTCATTTTTGGGCCGAATTATAAGGCTTCAGATAAGAGAAGAATTGGTATAATTAATTTTTTAATAGCGGAAACCAAAATGGCAATACTGGTAACAAGGGAAAAAAAGATAAATGAAGAAGCTTTGGTAGACCCAGATATAATATTAAGAGCTTTTGTGACTTCAAGGATTAGAGCAGAATTTGTGTATTTTAAACTGACAAAAAATCTGGCTTGTTTTATGGAAACATGGGGTTTAAGTGGTGTTGTGTACTATGGATCATGAGGAAAACTTCATTTAAATTTGGTGGTAGGTAAAAAATAAAATGTTGTGTAGTATTGCTGAATGTGATGATGGTTGGTAATTGTAAAAAAAACAAAAAAAACAACAACATGTAAACAAACCAAAAAAAACAATTATAAGATATATAAATGTCAATGTCTCTCTCCTTCTCCCTTCCTCTCTCTCTCTCTCTCTTAAATTATATCACAGTGGTCATTTGTCTCTTTGTCCCCAACTTCAGATTCAGTATCAGTTCAAAACGTTGTTCCAGAATGTCCCAGCATTCCATACGGCGAGAGAGTGGACTGCTTCCCACATCCCGACGCTTCCGAGGTAAGCCGCAGTAGATATGGCCTGCATTCCATACAAACTCCCAACATGCTTTGCTAAATTGTACTGCGCGTCCTTACAGCAAAAATGCTTGGAAAGAGCTTGCTGCTGGAGCCCTGTGGATGAGGCTAACGTCCCCTGGTGCTTCTTCTCCAAAAACCACGGCTACAGCGTGGTCAGCGAAAGCCAGCCTGACAGCACACGTGAGTTCAGTCTGAACCTAGAATCTAAAAAATTACAAATCTTCTTTCCATTGTAAAAGTTTATATTTGACCATGTAGCACAGAGGTGTCCTGGAGGGCCAAGTGTCCTGCACAGTTTAGCTCCAACTTGCCTCAATACACCTGCCTGGAAGTTTCTAGTATGTATTGTAATACCTTGATTATCTGCTTCAGGTGTGTTTAATTGGAGGTTTAGCTAAACTTTGCAGGACAGTGGCCCTCCAGGAGCAGAATTGGACACCCCTGATCTAGCTATTTAGAGACCTCATGGAAAATGTTTGTTTTGCTGTAGATATTGAGGCCAGGCTGACAAGAATGGATGCTCCATCTCTATTTGGAGCTGACATTAAAGAGTTGATCTTCTACGCTGAAATGCAGACTGAAAACCGTCTTCGATTTAAGGTTTGTTTAAAAACTGACACAAATAGCAGAGGCATCGTGTCAATGCGAACACGTCTATAATGGCGTGCAATGTTCTCTTTGTCTTCCAGATCACAGATGCAAACCAAGCCAGGTTTGAGGTTCCTCACGAGCACGTGCAAGCGCCTTCCAGCCCTCCCACCGGACCCCTCAAATATAGACTGGAGCTGATCCAGAAACCCTTTGGACTGAAAGTTTGGAGAACATCTCCTGAAAAACTCCTGTGAGAAGTTGTTTGTATTAAAACAGCTCTCAATAGAATAACTATCCAGTGAGAAATAGACCTTATTTCCAAAGAATACAACGATTTGCCACATTATGAAGAAAATGCTGTTTAAACTGTTGTTTTTCCTCAAGTCATTTCCCTTTACATGATCGTAGTCAGGTCCGTACAGTACGTGTGTTGCAAACAATTTAGTAATCTTTTATCTGATAAAAAGCCTGACCCAAAAGCCTAATAATAATGTTTTTTTATAGTGGATTTAGCATATATTGATGTCATAAGGAATGTATCTATATAATATGCTCATTAATCTCATCTGTAGTGAGGATATTTTTAAAATGAGACGATGCATGTGTTACAGAACGTTTCTTAGCTATCAGTTTAGCTGTGGCTTCACAAATAGGAAGATGATCTTTTTGATGAGCCGTCTATCAGTATTCATCCTTTATTCATGTGGTTTGGGAGTGCATTTTCACTGTTTTTGGACCCCTCTATATTTGAGGACATGCTTGAAGGGTCAATGGATATGTTCTTGACAGGTTTAATGACAACATCCCTTCCTCTCTTGCTCTGTCAGGTTTGACACAACCATTGGGCCGCTGGTTTTTGCGGATCAGTACCTTCAACTCTCGGCTAAACTCCCCTCTCACAATATTTATGGACTCGGAGAACACGTCCATCAGACCTTCCGCCATGACACCAACTGGAGGACCTGGCCTATCTTCACAAGGGATTCTTTTCCCAATGGCGTGAGTCATAACAATCAGATAATTTGCACAAACACTTGTACTATTCCAAAGCAGTATGACAGTGAAATACAAAGTGTTAGGTACTTTTTAAAGAATATCTTGGCCAAAAGCATCATAAAAGAAGTAATTTGACTGAAATTCAAGTCATTATTCACTGATAGCTGGCAAAACCGGATCACTGAGTCAGTGCGTCGAACTCAAGAACTGGATCAGTCTGATTTCTGAATGAATCGATTAGAACAACTCACTGATTAGCTCTACTGTTCTGAAGAGATCTAGGGTGGATTTCAACATTTTCAGTGAATAACAACTTAAAACTAAATTGAAAAGTTTGTAGACAAATTTTGATATTGGCTTGACAAAGTTTAAAAGTTTCATACGCTTTAAATATAATGAAGTGTAAAGAGAAAGGAATAAACCATGCTAGCATGAATTAACATGTTTTTGTCATAGACTGTAAAAAATATGGACGTAGTGGTCGTGACATCACCCGTAGGTTTCTGAAGAGCGTATTTGAAGCCTAAAGTGCGGTCAAGCTGGCCGTTGCGCATCACTCCCGGATAACTGAAAATGGGCAAAGAGGCGGGACGTGGGTGGAGCTAACAGACATCAGACAACTAATGACTAATGACCTTGACAACAGCGGGAATCCGCATGTCACTCAAAGTGGCCACGCCCTTAGTTATGCAGAACTTCAAGGCTTAATATAATTTAAATGAATGAGTTAAAAAAATAAAAAGATTCGCCCCCCTCACAGTTGTCATGAAGGGCAAAATTAGCTGTATAGACCAAAACCACAATTTGTAAACATGTTTTTTTTTCTGCTGTGAAGTTGGGCATTTTAACATGTGGCTCAATTAGATTCTGCTCTCTTTTGGTGCCTGCCCCTAGAGGCCAGTCGATGAATTGCAGTTTAAATCACTTCTGTATTGGCTTCAAGAGAAACTGGAGGAGGTTTCTGCTTCATTTTTGCACATTGCATCACGGTCGCCAGTTGAAGTGCCCTGGTTGTCCATCAGAGGGCACTCCACTATTGCTCATTGCCATTCCATTAAAGACAGTGTTTCATCATCACCGATTGTCTACAGGTGTTACTCATTAGCCTCATTAGCTCTGTCCATAAAAGCCTGGTTCACGCTGACATTCAGTGTGAGGTTTTGTAGTTTGTTATGCTGCATCTGTGAGAATTATTCCTGGTTTCTTTTATCTTGGTTTTTGGATTCTTTACCTGATTAAGTCTTTGAGCACTTCGTAACAGCTAGCATGTATTAATAGGATGCTAGCACAAATTAGCATGTTTTAGCACATTGTTAGCATGATTTAACATGTTGCTAAAATGTTTTATCTTGTTGCTTCCATTAATTACTATTTTGCCAGCATCTTTTGCGTTGTTAAAAGAATGTAGTGCTCTTAGCATGAATAATCATGTTTTTGCATTTTGCTAACATGAATAGCATGTTGCTACATGTTTTACCACATTGGTAATATGATCTAGCTCTTTGTTAACATGAATTGGCATGTGGATAGCATGTTTTAGCACACATAATGCTAGCATGTTTTATCATTTTACTAGCATTTGGCATGAATTAGCATGTTGTTAACATTTTTAATGTTGTTAAAATATTTAGGATGGTGATAGCATGCCGATAACATGCATAAGCATGTTGTTAGCATGTTCTGGCACATTGATAGCATGAATTAGCATGTTGCTAGCATGTTTATGTTGTCCCAGGTCAGTCATTAAGCTATTCTAGTGACAGGCAGTATAAATAATCTATAAGTCTTATTGTACAAACGTTTTGACCCCCTCAATGAAAGCCAATGGGACTTTCGCAGTTTTGATGGTCAATTTAATAAAAACAGTAAGTTGGATCAGTTAGAAAAAAACAGTCTGAATGTCTGAGTTGAGTTTGTCAAGCCAATATAATTATTGCATGATGTTAGAAGACCTAAATTATAGTGCATGAGTCAAATTGACAACTTCTATAATACTTTGTTTTTGTTTTGTTTTGTGCTTTTATAATGCTTAAAATATGATGAGACATAAATGTCCCAAACTGTCTAATTAACTGATTAATAGGTTGAAATTTGCCATTACAAACCTTAATGTCTTTTCCACCCCAGGGCACACACAACCTATACGGCCACTACCCCTATTTCACATGTCTTGAAAATGAGAGTGGCCAGTCCTTTGGTGTTTTCCTCATGAACAGCAATGCTATGGGTAAGCTTTGCTGTGGACTAAAGTCACAATGTGATAACTTGTGATGTCTGTTTTGTGTTTGGAATGGCTGCTTTTCTTGACATTTAGCAAATGAGAGCAGTTTTAGTTGTTTATGTCTGTCTGCTCTTGTCTGTGTGCAGAGGTGACAATCCAGCCTGCTCCGGCCATAACCTACCGGACTATCGGAGGGGTTTTGGACTTCTACATCCTGGTTGGAGACACACCAGAAGCAGTGGTGGACGAGTTCACACAGGTTAGTGTTGTGGGCAAATATAAATAGAAACACCAGCGACACTTGTTGCGAATTTATAAGCACTTGGAAATGCTTTTTCATGTTTTATATATATATATATATATATATATATTTGATTTTCGGTGTGTTTACTATTGCTTTATATCTCTCCAGCTGATTGGCAGGCCTTTCATTCCTCCGTACTGGTCTCTGGGTTTCCAGCTCTCTCGCTGGGACTATGGCAGCCTGGACGAGGTGAAGAAAGTCGTGGAGAGGAACCGACAGATCGGCATTCCGTATGTAAGTGCCGGGATCAGAAGGAGGTTCCTCGCTTTGTTCTACAATACTTGATTTCACCCAGCACTTCAAATCCACGACTGAGAGCATGGAGCAAAGCTTACCGATTCATAAAAAAATAACTCCACACTTCACCTATACATGCATTTAGAAGCATCTAGCACCTTATGGAGGAGCTCAAATTTTTTTTAACAAAGAGGGCATATGCATGTCAGGATATTGCATCTCTGCCTGATTAGAATTTAAAAAATTGGCTACTGGTAGGAGAATCTCACCATCTGCTAATGGCTGATGGAAGTCAAGCTTTCAGAAAAATTGAAACAGACAACAGTTAGTCAATGTTAGAATCAGAATCAAAATAAGAATGGATGCAAAAGAGGGTGACAGAGCTGATTTCAATGTAATAGCGCAGGTAGAGAGAAACATAAACATTAACAACCTAAAAACTAGATTGAAAAGTTTGTAGTCAAACTTTGATGTCGGCTTGAAAAAGCCGTATGAAGGTTTGAAAGTTTAATAAGCTTTAACTTTGAAAGAAAAACATTGCTAGCATAAATTAGCATGTTTTAACCCATTTCTAGCATGTTTATCACATTGCTAGCATTAAACAATGCAAAATCTTCTGATACCACTGTAAAGCTGCTTTGAAACAATCTGTATTGTAAAAAGCGCTGTATAAATAAAGGTGACTTGACTCTGCTAGCAGGAGTTAGCATGTTTAAGCACACATTGCTAACATGAATTGCATTTTGTTAACATGTTGTCATATTTCTAGCATGATTTAACACTTTGCCAGCATTAAGTAGCATATAGCTTACATGTTTTAGCACCTTGCTACCATTTTTAGAGCATTGCTAACATGAATTAACACATTGCTAACATGTTTTATCACATTGCTAGCATAAATTAGCATGTGGGTGGGCCGGGGGGGAGGGGCGGTGGAGTGGGGTATGAGAGGTTATGAACAAATGAATGAAACGCATTTGTCCATGTTTCACTCCGTCTCGAATCACGCTTGTGGAAAGCGCTTGAGAAACAGTGTCTCCTCTGCAGAGCATGTGAGCGGAGCGGAGTGGTAATATTTCCTTAAGAGCGCAGAGCGCCTTTCTGAAGATTCCGCTCCGCTCACTCAAAACGCTCAGCGCCGCTCGCTCAACCCAGAATGCCGTTTGGTGATTTGCTTGTTCCAGATCGAGAATCTGTAGAGATCGAGAATAGTAGAGCAGTTATGGAGTTCAGATATTGTTTCAACGAAGTTGCAAGCCTTATATATAAATGTAAAGTAAACATCTAAGTTAAGAATGAGCAGGAAGAAGAAACTGAGAGGGAGTGCGGGGAGAGTTAGTAAAGATTCATATTGGAATCTGAAGCGGCACATCGCCAGAAAGCACGAGGATGTGCTACGCAAACATGTAACTAAAGGTGAGCTAGTTACAGTGGGGCAAAAAAGTATTTAGTCAGCCACCAATTGTGCAAGTTCTCCCACTTAAAAAGATGAGAGAGGCCTGTAATTTTCATCATAGGTATACCTCAACTATGAGAGAAAAAAGGAGAAAAAAAAATCCAGAAAATCACATTGTAGGATTTTTAAAGAATTAATTGGTAAATTCCTCGGTAAAATAAGTATTTGGTCACCTACAAACAAGCAAGATTTCTGGCCCTCACAGACCTGTAACTTCTTCTTTAAGAGCCTCCTCTGTCCTCCACTCGTTACCTGTATTAATGGCATCTGTTTGAACTCATTATCAGTATAAAAGACACCTGTCCACAACCACAACCAGTCACACTCCAAACTCCACCATGGCCAAGACAAAAGAGCTGTCAAAGGACACCAGAAACAAAATTGTAGACCTGCACCAGGCTGGGAAGACTGAATCTGCAATAGGTAAGCAGCTTGGTGTGAAGAAATCAACTGTGGGAGCAATTATTAGAAAATGGAAGACACACAAGACCACTGATAATCTCCCTCGATCTGGGACTCCACGCAAGATCTCACCCCGTGGGGTCAAAATGATCACAAGAACTGTGAGCAAAAATCCCAGAACCACACGGGGGACCTAGTGAATGACCTGCAGAGAGCTGGGACCAAAGTAACAAAGGCTACCATCAGTAACACACTGCACCGCCAGGAACTCAAATCCTGCAGTGCCAGACGTGTCCCCCTGCTTAAGCCAGTACATTTATGCTAGGACTACATTATGGCCACGAATTAAGTATTTGTTCTCTTGTTTAGGCTTAGCTGCCACGAATTCATTCGTTCATTCCCTAGTTTTAGTAGGCCTAAATCGTGGAACGAATTATAATATTTTGTAATTACTTACTAAATTATTATTATTTAAAATTAATAAATAATAATAAATTAATTTATAAAAGAATAAAACCTGCTGGCATCGTAGAAACGAATTGTTAATTCGAATTATATCCGGAGCTCCGTAGTTATTAAATAATCTCAGTTAAACTGTAGACCTAAGCTAACACACAGCTGTATATAGGCCTAAATACAGAACTACAGAGTACAGAAGATATTAGCCTACAC